TGGTGGGTGGAGGTGGCACTCCATTGTGGGTGATCAGCAGCTCCCAGCAGAAACATGATCGAAAGGGTAGACTGTGCATCAGTGGAGACTTGATCCAGAGGAGGAAATGTATGCAGGAAGGTTCCAAAGTGGAGGGGCCCGTGTCCGATGTAAGAATGAGGAGGCCAACATGCATCCAAGGAAATAAAAGGTTATGTTGTACACCACTTTGGAAGAATTTATCAAAATGTAAATAACTTGTTGGGGTGGCAGTGGGGGACATGTTCATGACCACAATTGGCAGATAGGCCAGAGAGAGCGCACAGCAGGCCGTGAGGGGAAAGGGGCCTGGGAAGAAGCACTGCAGGCAGCAGGCTGTCGGGCGGGGTGATTTCCACAGCCTAGAGCAATTTCAATCAACCCAGCAGGCCTCAGGCCCCTAGGCTCATTTTAACTACTGTGCCAGCCGACCCAAGGCTCTTTTTGCTGACTCACTGCACACTTACAGTGAACCCTCGTTTATCGCGGTTAATCGGTTCTAGACCCTACCGTGATAAATGAAATTCCGCGAAGTAGGATTCCTTATTTGTAAATCAAATATTTTCGTAGTTAGAGCATAGAGGACATGAAAAAACACCCTTTAGTCACCATGACACTCGTATTACCCAATTTGTTAAACGAAAAAGGGAAAATACAGTAAAACATTTTGGACGTTACAATCATCATTTATTATTTATTATATTATTTATGGCATCTAGTTTACAGTATAACATATTTCACATACAGTATTATTATACATAGTTCTTACAAATACTGTAATCAGTAGCCTATGAAATGACTTAAGGGATGTACTCTACAGGTGGGTGGCCGTCTTTTTCCTCTGAAGGAGCGGGTGTAGGCAGTGGGTGCTGTTACGCAAAAACCGCGATAGAGTGAAGCCGCGGAAGTCGAAGCGCGAAGTGGCGAGGGTTCACTGTACTTCCTTTGTCCATGCCCATGGGCAGAGCATGACCAGGTTCATGACTGGACCGGAAACCGGGCCGGATCCGGGACTGGCCTCTTCATAACATAACCTGGAGACACAGACAGGTCAAGTACCCCCCCACCTGGTAAACGTTGAGTCCGATGCTTTTCTTTCCTTTTCAAACGGACTTGGCTTTCTGCTTGCCATTTGTGGTCCACGAGGCTCCTCTTTGGTTCACAGACCAAGAGCCCCTGGGCCCATCAGAGCAGTTACAACACAATCATGTATGACAGACTGCGATCATGTATGATCCAGCTGGTGCCATCGGTCTGGGCAGTAGCTCCTTCCTTCCCAACCAAGGGGCTGAGCTTTACATTTTGAAGGATATCAATCCTAAGGGAATCTATCCACAGTCAGCCATGAGCACCCTACAACTCCATGCAGACAGGCCCCCTTTTCTGCTTTAAGGATGCTTGTGTGTTCCCTTAGGTGAGCTGTGGTGATTCTCCATGAAACACCTTTACCGGCCAGCAGTCCCAGAGCTTCCTGTTTGAGACGACCTTCGTTTGTGGTTCTTTTGAACAGTAAGGGTATGGGTCTGCTGGGTTCCAGGTCGGCGGGTTGGAGTGCTGTCGGCAGCCTGGCTGGGTTTTCCGCCTCTCTGACTCCTTTCCTACCACAGCAAGTTGGGTTTGCTATCCTGACCCCAATTCCAACCCGAGCTCCCGGCAGGGATCTCCTAATCAAGGCAAGGGGCACAGGGCGGTGGCTTTTAACTTTTTTTTTTTAAAGCCAAATAGAAACCATGTTTGTTTGTTTTTTTTGCTTTTCAACATTTTTTTTAAAATCACTTTATTAGGGGCTCATACAACTCTTATCACAATCCATACATCAATTTTTAAAGCGCATTTGTACATTCATTGCCCTCATCATTCTCAAA